TGGATGCGTCTTTACCGGACAGCACCTGGACCTTTGAGAGCCAGCAGGTGAGCAGATAAAATCCATTTTAAAAATGTCAATACTAAATGACACACCATAATGTTTGGTGTTCGTTTAGTAATCGTGGTTTAATGGTAACAACGGTAACTGTGCTGCTCATTTTTGTTTTTAATCAGCTCCATGCACATAAAAAATAGGTATTGAGTGTTTTGGTAATATTTTTGTGTACACAAACTGTCATACGTGTACTCAGGCATTTTATGTATTAAACAGCACCCCCTCATGACAACTGATGATTGCGAAAATGGTTTTGGTAAAATAATCCAAACAAAAATATCCTGTGTGCATTGATGCTATGTTGGTGGGAAAGGTGTCATTGATTGTAATTTAACAAAAAAGTAGTAATTCATAGTTTTAGGGCAGCATACCTATCATGTATGCCTTGTTAGACTGAATGCATGGGGATTTTAACTTTATTATTTGGTTGAAAGAGTTTTGTGAATGCACGTTTTATTTGATGGCATGAATGGCATTTATTTTATTTTTTTTATTTTATTTTATTTTTTTTAAAGCAATGCGACTGTAAAAGGGGGGCAGTAACATGGGTCTCATACTTGTCTCACACACACAGCAGTGCATCTGAGCGGATTCTCATTAATACTGCTGTGCCTTTAAAAGCGCTGCTTCGTGCTCTTCCTATTGGATGTTAGTGATAGATGCTCTGGTCCAATAGCGTGCAGGACTGTACAAAGAGATCTACCCCCTCCCCCTGCAGCCTCAGCACCATAAACGTTAACAATGTAAGAGGTGGAGGACGGTGTGATGCGCTCATATCACCAAGCTGGAAACAAATCCGTTAATTTAGGCTCCAGACATGTGCAATAATGCTTCATGTATTTTCCTGGGTATAGCTAATGCTCATTGGAACTGGATATTTACTTTGATTTTCTTCATGGGAAATAACGCGTTGTAACGGACCGGGGATGACAAAGAGAATGGGATACCGAGACTGGAGATGGCAGGCGCTTTGGTGGCATCATTTCTTTCTCTTGTGGATTACAATAGACGGACAGACTCGTTACAGCATCCCGGAGGAACTAAAACAGGGATCTGTGGTAGGAAATTTAGCCAAAGATCTGGGTTTGGGATTATCAGACATTTTTGACCGTAAACTGCGCGTCGCCTCTGAGACTGGTGAGCAGTATTTCAGTGTGGATGCGGGGAAGGGCGAGCTGGTGGTGAATGACAGAATAGACAGAGAGGCTTTATGTGGACAAAGCACCAGCTGTGTGTTGCCTTTGCAGATAGTTCTTGAAAATCCTCTGAGTTTACATCGAATTGAGGTAGAAATTAAAGACATAAATGATAATTCTCCCAGTTTTCATACAAAGGAATTATCATTGAAAATTGCTGAATCTGCGGCAGTGGGAACTCGTTTTGTTTTGGAGAGCGCAGAGGATTCAGATGTTGGAAGTAATTCTGTAAAATCCTACACTTTGACTAGAAACGACTGTTTTACTCTCAAAATGAAGGAGGTTGAGGATGGCAAAGCAGTGCCTGAGTTAGTGTTAGAGAAGCCTTTAGATAGAGAGAAGAAAGCAGTGCATCAGTTACTACTGACTGCATTAGACGGAGGAAACCCAGTCATGTCTGGTACATCGCAAATTACAATTACAGTACTTGATAACAACGACAATTTTCCAGTATTTGACAAGAATTTATATAAAGTTTCCTTACCTGAGAACACTGCTAAAGATACGTTTGTAATCAAAATAACAGCAACTGATGCTGACGAAGGACCAAACGGAGAGGTTGAATTATCTTTTGGCTCGCGGACACCAGACTCTGTGTTATCGGTCTTTGAAATAGACTCATTAACTGGAGAAATACATTTGAAAGGAGACTTAGATTATGAAACAGCTACGTCCTACAAAATAGAAATAACTGCAAAAGACAAGGGGGTGCCTGAAATGGAGAGTCACTGTCGTCTACAGATAGATGTCGTAGATGTTAATGACAACACTCCAGAAATTGTTCTCACCTCTGAACCGCAGCCGGTGCGCGAAGACGCACCAAGTGGCACAGTTGTGGCTTTACTCAATGCACGTGATGCTGACTCCGCTAATAATAGCAAAGTGACACTGAGACTACCCA